TAAACCCTAAACCCTAAGCCGCTTCTAGCCACCATACTTGTGACCTGAAGAGACTCCACGAGCCTGCCCCCATCCAGTACCCCTTAGTTATTTAGACATAGGGCCTTAATACTATCATTTAAGGTATATTCCTTAATGAATATATATTCCCTAATTAATGAATGTACCTTAAATTATAGGGGCCATAATGATTTAAAGTATATTCCTGAAGTAAGGGGTATTGGGTTCTCTGGGGAAGACCGTCGTACCAACGGTTGGAACAGCTTCGGAAAAGCTCATAGGTATGTAGAGATACACCTGCAGCCACTAAATAAGACTCATACGTATGTGTGTGTGTGTGTATTCTATATATAGATATATACACACACGTTTATGTATATGTATATGTATATGTACATGTACATGTATATATATATATATGTAAATGTATATTTATATTTATGTGTATGCATGCATGTACGTATGTATGCATGCATGCATGCATGCATGCATGCATGTATGTATGTATGTATGTATGTATGTATGTATGTATGTATGTATGTGTGTAGGGGTGTGTGTGTGTGTATGTAGATGTATATGCATATGTACATGTACTTGTATACGTATTTGTACATGTCTGCCTACTCACACACACATATACAGATAAACACACACACACACAATCACACACATTTGTTATCGAACCGGTGGCCAGTGACATTTGTGCTTCCGAGCCTCTTCTTGCGTTAGTACGTGAAAGTGATCATTCCTTTTGTACTTCTGTGCACCTCGTGAGACTGGGATCACTGAGCTCTACGATGGGCACGATGGCCGAACCGGCGTGTTTGTTTTTTGTGTTTCGCGTTTTAGGTTTCCAGCATCTGAGCAGTCGCATCTAGAGACAGGTAGTGTGTCAAAACCAGCATGGAAAGCAACTGTCAGGTCCTGTAACTGGCGTCCACATGCATCCTCATCAAGGAAACGACTCTGGTATCTCTGCGGATACCACGACGGACAGCTGACTGGAAGCGCATGTGTTCCCCGTTCCCGACTCGACATCGGAATGTCAATCAATCCAGTGCAGTTCAGGATGTACTGCAGGTATTAGGGCCGCAGCCAGTGCACAGTAACAGCAGCAGGCTCAGTGACTTATAGCTCTGTTTTGTCCAGGACTTGTGTTTGACAAGCTCGTTCGATTGGAGCATCAAGCTTTGGAGGGTCCGCAGCTTGGCGTGTGGACGTGTCAGTATGCCTATCCGAAAGCTTCCCTGCTATGGTGTCGACCGCAAGCAGAGCAATGGCAACACGAACAATCACAATCGCAAAAGCACCACTGACACTAGCAAACGCAACAATTAAAGTCAGACCAAGAATGTGTGGCAATAATGACACTACTGCAGTAATAGCTATCGACATAAAGTACCCCTACCTTTACCGGAGTATGACGGTAACAGAAACAGCTACTGTTGCTGCTGCTGCTGCTGCTACGGCAACTGCTACTTATGCTGCTGCTGCCACTACCCCTACTGCTGCCTACCTACCTACCTACCTGCTTGCCTGCCTGCCTGCTTGACTACCTGCCTGCTCCTACCTACAGTACCCACCAGCTACCTATCGATCTGCCTACCTGCCTACCGGCTACCTACTACTACTACTACCACTACTACTACTACTACTACTACTACTACTACTACTACTACTGCTACTACTAACTACTAACTACTAACTACCTACTAACTAACTACTAGCTACTAACTACTAACTACTAACTACTAACTACTAACTACTAACTACTAACTACTAACTACTAACTGCTAACTGCTAACTGCTAACTACTAACT